GGGGGGGGGGGATGACGCTGAGAGGGATGAGAGGGTTGGTAGAGACGGATGAGGGAATACCAGTGAGAGATCAGAGGAAGAGTCAATTTGTGTTGGAGAGTCACAACCCCAGGCTATACCTACAGAGAGAGAGAGAGAGAGAGAGTCGTCTGGCTCCATAATGGTAAAGTACTATCGGGTTTTGCTGCTGATTTTACTCTCAATACTGTTGTACTCCATAGTTATATTTCATAGTACTCGAAATATTCGGTCGAGTACGCCAAGTGCAGAAAAATCCATTCACGTGACTCGGTGTATAGATATATCGTATCCTCTTCTTTTTATTTCCATGCCAAATTTACAAGTGGCTCCGCCATCCGTCCTTGGACTCTGTGAACTTTCCGATATAATTTTGCAAAGGGGAGAGAAATTTTCAAGAGGTGGATCGAGAGAAAAAGGTTCACATAGCAAAGAATCGAATGACGATGTATATAGATATAGGATAGCGTTACGTGCTAGGTATCACGTGGGATCTTGTAATGCTGTGGGGATGTCGGCGTTTCGATAGGAAGGAATACGATGAAACTACCCCTAAGAGATCCACGGTTATATGAAAGCGTGACTGGAAGCGGAGAGGGCTTTGCCTGGCTACCAGGGCTTGGACCTTACGAGTCCCTTGATATTTTGCCAGGCGTCCCACCCCTCCATCCCTACCTACCCGGTCCCATTGAATCACCATATAAACGACTCGAAGCCTGCGAACTCACCCAGACTCAACCCTCTTCTTGATCCGCCCTAACCTCAGATATACGTTTCATTTTAGTAGGACCGTACCCGAATGTCAGCCCATGGGCGTCCTCCCTTCCTTTCTTCTGCCGCTACCCCTCCCGTTCGCCAGTTTTACTTCTAGACCGTTCCACCACTCCCTTTTTACCCCCAATTTCCGAGAAATTTAATCCACGAAAAAGAAAGCCCTCTCTCTCTTTTCTCATAGCCCTTATACTATGGTTAGTATGGCAATATTCTACTTTGGCATACGGTGGAACGTTCTGCGAATATACTTTTTACCCACCCGAGTTACCCCCCCCCCACCTGCAATTATTTATTCTCCGGAGTTTAATCCAGGAGGATTACCCCGGATTCCCACGTATTACTGTATCAGGAATAACAGGGTGAATTGGGAGCGGGTTTTGTGAACGGTGAATTGGGGAGAAGAGGGTGAAAATTTTCTAAAAGTAGATTCAGCTTCGCTACCTATCTCTCTTCTCTCTGTCTCCCCCTTCAGTGGCCACGAGCATTTTACCTTGATGGTGTCTGTATAATTTGCTTTGTATGTTTTCTTTCCGTTCTCGAATCCCTAAAGAATCTAAATACTACGCCACTGCACACCCAACCCTCACGACAATGAGAGAACGC